GGACTGGGAATGGAGTCAGGTGTATTGGGAGGGACTGGGCTGTACTGGGAGGGATTGGAGGGGCACTGGGGTTGTACTGGGTTCTAGTTGGGATCAATTGGTCTGTACTGGGGTTGTACTGGTCTGTAATGGGGATGAACTGGGCTGTACTGGGAGGGACTGGAGAAGTTGAATGGGCTGTTCCCGCCTCTGCCGCACCCCACTTGCCGAGACTCCCGCCCATCACAGCCCGAACCCAATCAGCACTTGGTATAGGACGCGATAATGGCACAACCTTTTTTTTGCTTACAACTCCCATGGCCCCATTGGAACAGGGACAACAACGCCCGTCATGTCCTGCGCTCCACAGAACCCCGGCATCCGCCACCCCTTTGTCCATTAAGTGTCCCCCAGACGCTCTAGGATCCCCCAGAGCCCCCTCAGCGCCCATTCGGATCCCCCCAAAAGCGTCCCCGGACCCCCTGAGTGCTCCCAACCCCACAGATGCCCGGTACAGCCACTTCTGGAAATTCATCTCCTCTCATCCCCCGCGGCCCCAGAGCCCCTCAGAACACAGTCCCGTGCCTGAAACTCCTGCCGTGCCCCGCACCCTAAAAAGCCCTAAAGATCTCCCCGAGCTCTCACGCAAGTGCTCTCGAACCGTTTACGTTTACCCAAGGATCTCAAGTCGCGGCTCGGACGCAGAAGTGTCCCCCAAGAGCTTTCCCGGACCCTCAAACGGTGCGTTAAAGCCACTTCCGGGACTTCGGCTCCCATCATGCTCCGCGGCGGAGGTACAGGGGTTATACAGCTGGGACTTCATCTCCCGTCATGCCCCGCATCACAGGGAGAGCCATTGCAGCTGCACCTCAAACTCCCGTGATGCCCCGCGGGCCCGTTAACCCGTATCAGACCCCCGCCTACCACTCCCATTACACCCCGCGCTACCGGGAGCCCAGTCAGAGCCCCCCCCAAGTGCTGCCCCGGACTCCGAAGAGCCCCAAATTCCCCTCCCTGACCTCCAAGGCCCCCCTGGACCCCGAACTGTCCCTCAGAATCCCTGAGGGTCCCTCCAAGTGCCCACTCGTCTCCCCCAAGTGTCCTCCAGACCATCTAGTTCTCTCTGAATTCCCTCCCTGCAGCGATGCCGCGGCCGATAATCCTGTGCCCTGGCTAGCTGAGAGTGTGGCCAACAGCCCCACTGCAGTAGGGGGTGTCAGTCCCGGTGGCAAGGCCCCAGGACTGGCAGCTTCAGGCACCCCTCGGCAGTATAAGCCTCGGGCTGTGCCTGCAGGACGAGGTCTCGGTGAGAAGCTGCGAGGCAGGGCGGAGCGAAGCAAGAGCCGGACACTCTCTGGGGTTTAACTGGTTTAATGTCCCAGAGGACGACCACCAGGGCCTAACGAGCCGGGAAGGACCAGCAGAGAGCGACCAGAAAAAAGGGCAGAGCATGGGATTATAAAGGGAGGTGGTAACTGGGGGTGGGATTTACAGAAAACCAATCAGGGAGGAACAGGGGACGAGCTCAACATAATAGACATGAAGGGAGAACCAATAGATACATTGTAAAGGAGGGGCCCCGGGACCACAGCCAAATACTGCTCCCACAGAGAGGAACATTCTGGAAGACGGGGAGTGGTGGGGAGTGATTGACTGGGCCCAGGGAGGAGAGAAGGGTATACATATTTGGAGGTATAGGGCGGGGAAATTACATAACATGAGGGGCAACCATAGCAACGAAATAACAGACAGAAACTAGGGTGGGGAAAACTGTGAGGACAGAACCATCACAACAAAAGGGGGAGTAACGGAACAAACCAACACACCACAACCCCAGACCCAAAACTGCCGCAAATGTGCCCCAGAAATGTCTCCATGGACCCCAAAGTGCCCCCCCCATTGATTCTGTATTGTAAAAAGATAAAAACAAGATGAGAAAAAGACTATGAATATAACTAATTTTCAGGAACAGGAATTAAAAAGAACTAATAGAGCTTAATTTATTAATGAAGGGAATTGTGTTTCTTAGAAACATTGAGCATTCATTTTTTCAGCTACTAAAACTCTATTGATTTTTTATATAAATATAAAAACAAGGTAATAAAAACTAATACTGTTCTTATAAATAAGTATACTAAATATATAAATGAAAAATATTAACATTAAATAATGTTTTACAGAATAAAAATAACATAATAAATCGCATGAACATTTTTGGATGTTTTTGGATCTCAGTTCAAGGGGGCGATTGTGAGGCTGGGGGTGAGGAGCAGGTTGTCCAAACAGGCTCAGCCTGCAAGGGGCTCATTCTTCTCCATGCCCAGATCTCCTAAGGAGACATTCAGCATCAAGATCACTTAGGGAATGCTTCTGCCACCTCTTCAATGAACTGAAAAATAAAAAAATGCACCCTTGATTAAAAAATCATCATGAGGTGCATTTTGGAATCTCCCTTCTGAAGAAAACTCCAAACTGACTCCAATCACTGCAGAAGCCCTAGGGACTCAAAGACAATGGAAGGGAGGAGACAAAGCGCTCCTGAGGTCTTTCTGTATTTTTATCAGCCCCACGGTGGATTTGGGGCTGGGTCCAGGAGCCTCAGGCAAAGAGAGGAGGATGAAGAAGCTGCTCAAGGTGTCAGCAGCAAAACTCCAAGTGCCTTGGAGCATGTCTGGGCCCCAGTGAAGGCAGGCAGTGCCAAAGGCTGCCCAGGGACTGCTGAGAGCAGATCTTTGAGGCCAGGATTGCAGGGAGCCAAAGGCTCTGAGCAGGGAACTGCAATGCTGAGCAAGGCCTGGGCTGGCTGGGGGAAGCAGAAAGGCCAAGCCCTAAGCCCAGCCTGGGCCAGCAGGGCCTGTCCCTCACGCGTGGCCCGGGGCTGTTTGTGGGGCAGTGGGATGTGATGGGCAGCAAGGAGAAATGGCATAAACTTGCAGCCCCTGCAAGCCTCCCCAGGGAGGGATGAGGGAGAAGCAAAGTGCAGCCCCTGCCAGGAAAGTTCCTCCTGTGGGGCCTCCAGAGGCGCTGTCCGAGCCCAGGGCACAAAGGCCTGGGTGCCTGTGGCCCTGCCAGCCCTGCCCAGCCCTTGGCCATCTGTCCTGCAGGTTATGCCCCCTGGGCATGCTGCTCCTCTGCCCTGGCCGGCTGCACTTGCCCATCTCGCTGTCCCCCAGCATTTCTCACCCAGCATTTCTGTGCCCTCCTTGGGCTCCCTGCACCCAGTGCTGCCGGCTCCTGGCACACAGAGCCCGGCCATGGCCCAGCCTCACGCTGCCACACCTCCAGCACCAACATTCTGCCCTGCGAGGGACTTTGCTTTCTCCTCAGCTCCAGGCTGAACCTTCCAAGGTGCACTTTGGGGAGGTTTCCTGCAATTCCCACTCCCAGGAAAAGCTCTGTCTCCTGCTGGTCACAAACAGAGAAGGGCTGGTGGGAGATGTGGTGGTCAGAGGCTGTGTGGGGCAAAGTGACCATGAAATTTTTTAGTTTTTAAATATTCCAGGAAAGAAGGAGGGGCATCAACAAAATGTCTACAACTGGCTGGATGGCCAGGCCCAGAGAGTGGTGGTGAACGCTGCTGCATCCAGTTGGCAGCCAGTCACCAGTGATTGCCCTCAGGAGCCTGTGCTGGGGCCAGTTCTGTTCAATATTTTTACTAACAAACATGGATGAGGATGTTGAGTCTTTCATTAGTAAATCTGCAGCTGACACCAAGCTGGGAGCGGGTGTCCATCTGCTGGAAGGTAGGATGGCCCTGCAGAGAGACCTGGAACAGTTGGATGGATGGGCAGAGTCCAGTAAGATGAAGTTTAGTAAGTCCAAGTGCTAGGTCCTGCACTTTGGCCACAACAAGCCCTGCAGCACTACAGGCTGGGGACAGAGTGGCTGGAGAGCAGCCAGGCAGAAAGGGACCTGGGGGCACTGATGGACAGCAGGCTGGACATGAGTCAGCAGTGTGCCCATGTGGGAAAGAAGGCCAATGGCCCCTGGGCTGGATCAGGAATGGTGTGGCCAGCAGGAGGAGGGCAGGGATTCTCTCCCTGTGCTGGGCACTGGTGAGGCCACGCCTCGAGTGCTGTTTGCAGTTATGGGCCCTCAGTTTGGGAGGGACGTTGAGATGCTTGAGTGCATCCAGAGAAGAGCAGCCAGGCTGGTGAGGTGCTTGGAACACAAGTCATTGAGGAATGGCTGAGGGAGTTGGGGTTGTTTATCCTGGAGAAAAGAAGACTCAGAGGTGACCTTATCACTCTCTACAACTTCCTGAAAGGTGGTTGTGGTCAGGTGTGGGTTGGTCTCTTTCTCAAGGCAGCAACTGACAGATCAAGAGGTCGTAGCCTCAAGTTGTGGCAAGGGAAATATAGGTTGGATATTAGGAAAAAAATTTTCATGGAAAGAATGAGAAAGTACTGGAATGGTCTGGAATGGCCCGAGGAGTTGGTGGAATGGCCCGAGGAGTTGGTGGAATCACCATCCCTGGATGTGTTTAAGAAAAGACTGGATATGGCACTTGATGGCGGGGTTTAGTTGAGGTGTTAGGGTCCAGATTGGATTCAATTATCTTGAAGATCTCTTCCAACCTTGTGTGATTCTGTGATTCTGTGTCTGTCAGACCCTGGGAACTCTCTACAAATCCATTTCCCACAGGGAAGTCTGTACCTGTCAAGTATCTCAGCCAATGGGGAAACACAGAGCGTAATGTGGATGGGAAGACAGCATTGAAAAGGAGGCTATGTCCTCAAAAAATTGGAGAGATCCCAGGGTAAACACGGCCTCTCCCTTTATTAGAATAAAGTTACAGGATCCTTTAGTCTCCCTTTTGGACATAAACCTTTGGCATTGTGAAGTTTGCATTGCACAGCTGGCTTGAAAAAGGGGCGTGTTTCACAAGTGCCAGTGGCACTGACAGTTGTGATGGAATCATCACTTAACTTACTTTGCAGGGTATTTTATATAAAATAACCAGCTCCTGTTACCAAAACTTCCTGTGTTTCCTTTCCCACTGCAGCTGTTACCACAGGCTCTGCTGGGAATGAAACCTCTCGTCCCCTTCACAAGTACCCAGCTATTGCCATGAGGGAGTTTGGAGAAGTCCTGGGTTTTAGGTGAGGACACTTCTGCTTCCAATGTCCCTCCTTTTTACAATATGAGCATTGGTTTGTCTCCAATCTTCCTAATGAAGGTCCAGGAACTGAACTCTTTTCCCTGCCATGAGACCCCCTTCCTCCCTGGGGCAGCAGTCCTTTGCTGATTCCTTTTTCTTCAGCTGGTATTCTTTAGTATTAACTCACTTCCAGCTGGTTTTCTTTTGATTTGTATGTACTGCCCATGCAATGTCAAGAAGTTTACCCACATCAAATGCATGTGTTTCCTGGATTTCCTGTAATTGTATTCAAATATTATTAAGGACTATGCTATGTAAATAAGCATAACCTTCCTCCTAAATGATCATCGAGAGGACTTTCACCTTCCTCCTGAACTTTATTTTGACTTTATTGCTTTCTTGTCTGTGCCTGCAGCCAGCCTTCTTAGTCCTCTATGCACTGGGCTTTGCAACTGCATTTAAACCTTCTTTTTGTTGATAATCTAAATGCTTAGAGCAGATGTGTCCCATGTTACAGATATAACAACAGCATTTAATAATTTTCTCTTTATTTTCCTTCTCTAAAGCCTAAACAAATTGAGAAACATTTCTGTATACATCACTTAATGTCATTTTGTTCTTGATGCAAGAATAACATCAGCTGTAGCAGAAGGTTCTTGTCGCAACACCTGTTGCTCGTTGTTATCTTCACCAGCCCATCCCATCATTCCAGAGGCTGGACCATCACAGGGGATGTCATACATCCACTCAGTGCCTGCTTCATGGCCAGGTGTCTGTAAGGTTGTTTTGGCGATGAGTACCATTGTCTCATTAAATTCTTTCATGGGGCACTGTGTGCCCATAGCACTCATTTCGAAGCCCAGGACAGTGTCCCAGGCAGTGACATGGGACACAGGGTCTGTCTGCAGTCACCCAGTGGTTGTTCTTGCCACCACAGGCACACAGCACTTGCCATGGTGGGTTTGGGGTATAGTCAGTCTGCCAGGCCTCCCCATACTTGTATTCCAGCCCTCTTGAGCAAACCCCTCCATAGATAGGTTTTTGAACTGGGAAGCAAAAAACTCTTTAATTTGATATTTCTTAGCTCAAATCCTCCCTAAATGAATGTTTCTCAGCTCCCTAAATTAGTATTTCAGACACCAAAATATCCTTAAATGGGTGTTTCTAAGCCCGAAATATCTCTAAATTGCTGTTTCTGAGCTCAAAATATCCCTAAATTGCTTTCTTTGAGACTCAAAGGTCCTTTTTTTTTTTTTTCTCCGAGCCAAAAACCTCCCAAAATCAGTATTTTGGAGCCCCAAGGCCCCCAAAATTGTACTTTCTCGGTTCCAAAGCTCCTGAAATCACTGTTATGGCCCTGAAGCTGCTGAAATAGATTAGATTTCTAAGCCATGAAGTTCCCAAAATCAGTGTTCCAGAGCTCTGACACCCCTAACTCAAGCCCTGTGCCCTGTCTGTCATCAGCCCGTGGGGTTGATCCCAGCACTCCCGGTGCCCTCCCGGCGCATTCCCGGTGCCCTGGGAGGCTCCAGGAGCACGGAGGGACCCTTGGCTGCACACATTTCCCACCCCAGCCAAGGAGCCGCCCCCGATGGGAGCATTTTCACTTTCCCTTTCCAGGCTGAGAACTGATTTACGAGAAATTAGGGTAAAACCGGGAAAGGAGCTGCGGGGGTAGAGGGAGGAGCCCTTGGGGGCGGGAACAGGAGCGGACAGGGGGGAGATAAACCCGGGATGAGGAGCTCCCGGTACTCACACCCCAGCACGGAGCTGCTTCTTCCCATCCTTGTCCCAGGTAAGTGCCAGCCCCTTGCTCCCTTGTTTCCCCAGGGCTTGCTCCTTCTGCTCCTGAAATTGATGTTTCTCAATCCAAAAGCTCCTGAAATCGCTGGTTTGGAGCTCCAAAGCTCCTTAAATGGGGCTATAGAGCCCAAAATCAGTTTAAATTGGGTTTTTGGAGCCCAAAAGCTCTCTAAATCATTCTTGCTGATCTGAAAATATCCCCAAATCACTCTTCCTGATTCCCAAAGCTCCTGATGTGATTTTTTTCTCAGCCTTGTACTCCCCAAATATGGCTTTCCTTGGCCTGCACGTCCCAAAATTGGTCTTTTAAGAGCCCCAGTGCTCCCTAAATCAGTATTTCTGAGCTGAATGCTGTTTCAGGTCCCAAAAACTCCCCAGGTGGGTGTTTCTGAGCCCCAATGCTCCTGAAACTTCCGTATTCTCAGCTGTGAAATTCCCCAAATGCCTATTTTCTGAGGCCAAAAGCATCTTTAAATTGTGTTGCTGAGTCCCAAAGTATTCTGAATTGCTGCATTTGGACCCCAAGTCTCTGGACATTGATTTTTCTGAGCCCCAAAGCTCATTAAATGGGTGTTTCTGAACTCCCCCAGTTCTTTTCTTGACCCCCAAAGCTTTCTGTGACCACTTTTTGAGTACTGCAGTTCCTTAAACATGTGCTTCCAAGCCCAAGAGCTCCCTAAATTGGAATTTTGAGCTGAAAACCTACCTAGAGGGGACTTTTTGAGCCCAGAAGTTCCCCAAATCAGTGGTTTTAAGCGAAATGCTCCCTAAACTGGTGTTTCTCAACCGCTGTGCTGCCTGAAGTTTGGGTTTGTTCAGAGCCAAAATCTCTCTAAATCAGTGTTTGGGACCCCAAAGCTCTCTAAATCCCTGAGTCCCAAGGCTCCCAAACTGGCAGTTTCTTAGCCCAAACGCTCCTGAATGGGAGTTTCTGAACCCCTGAGAACCCAAAATTGCTTGTTTTGATCTCAGAAGCTGCCTGCATCATTCTTTTGGAGCCAAACTCATCCCTAGATGGTTTGGGAGGCTGTGCCTGAGTGCTGGTGGAATGCAGTGGAAGGGGAGAGGCTCTGCCAGAGGATGAGGATGGGAGGTGTGAAGAGCAGCTGGGATGCCTGGAAATCCCCAACAGGATGGGCAAAGGCTGAATTGTGTGAGTGAGCAGGGGAGGGGTCAGAAAGGGAGGACGCTGCCTTGGCAGCTCAGAAACCCCCTGATCGTCAGGAAGAGTTGGCAGAAGAGCTCTGGGGGCAGCCTGGAGGGGTCTCCAGGCCAGTGAGCAGGTTCCCATGGGAATGGCAGCTGCCCTGGCATTCATGGCCAGGCAAAGCAAAGGGCTCCAGCAGCCTGGGGATCTGGGAGCGATGGCTCAGCAGAGCTGCCCGGTGGGTGAAGAGGGGGATGCTCCCGGGGACCTGGTCCTGCCCCACAAGGAAGGGCTGGCCAGGGATGAGCTCCTCAGTGCTGGCCTGGGCTGTCACAGCCAGGAAATAGTGGGGTCCAGGCACCGAGGGGCAGGGACTGAGGCCGGCAGCAGAGCACACAGCTGAGGCTGCAGAGGAGAAGGCTTTGATGGACGGAACCAGGCGGTGGCCGGGGCAGCAGCTGCGGAAGGTCCCCGCCCCCACGGGCTCCTCCCTCCCCCCAGCACCTCCTTTCTCGGTTCGACACCGATTTCCCATAAATGCCTGTCAGGAAATCTGAGAGGGGGTAGGAATGGTCTCTCCAAGAGCCAGGAGTAAAGCACGTGTCTCCTGAGGCTCTCGGACTGGACTCCAGGGTGAAAAGGCAGCGCTTGGGAGGTAAAGCACACGAGCCAGCAGCAAAGCAAGGCAGCAGCAGCTGGGGCTGTGTGAGCAGGAGCCCAGCCAGGGGAAGGGCTGATACCCCTGCCCAGCACATTGACACCACACCTGCCCAGCCACAGGGGGCTGAGGCACTCAGGAACCACCGCCCTGGTGGTCACTGGGGTGGCAGTCCTCCTCCAGCTGTCCTTCAGTCCTGGTGGGATTTCCTTAAGATTGTCAGTGTCTGCAGCAACAAAACCAACAAGAAACAGAACAGAACTGTCTGCAGCAGAGCAATCTGCACAGTCTGCAGCTGCCCCTCTGGGCAAGGCCAGTGCAATCACTGTTGGCCAAGCACAGCAGTGCCACCCCCGCCTCTCAAGGCTTCCCGGGCAGTGACCGTCCCTGGGCTGGGCACTGCTGAGGGCCCTCAAGTGCTGTGTCCACTTCTGCCAGAGGGGATTGAGTTGGAAAAGCTCCCTGGACCATCCTGGGGCCTTCACTGGGCTTTGCTGAGGCCTGAAGGAGCCCTGCTGCCCCCCAGAGCCCCCAGGGCTTTCAGTGTCTTTGCCTCATCAAGGCCCAGCTGTGCTGCAGAGGGTGGGGGAACAGTCAGGAAGGGTTGGAGGGAGACCACAAAGTTAATATTTCATAGAATTCCCATTCAAAGTCCAATGTCCCTTCCCACCCACTGTCTACAGAGACGAATCCAGTTCCTAATTCATTCCTACAAAGAGAAAAAATTGTCAATTCAGGCTTTATTTATTTAATATTTTTTTAATCTGATAGCAAAAAATGTTGCCATGCATTTTACTACACCTTAAATGGGAAAAAAGTAAAAAGTAAGTAGCATATTGATTAGGCACAGCCTGGATGCCATGAATACATTATGGAAAATTGTTTGTTTCTTTGATCTTGACTAAATTTTTAGTCTGAATAAATAAAGATTTTTTTTCATGGCGTGATATAACTTAATAATATAAAATAAAAAAGTGAAAACAATAGCTCACCTTAGAAGCACAGACAAAGCATAATGAGATTTCACCACCACTCATACAGTCCTCCTGAATTTAACTCAAACACTGGTACTAATGTTGTACTAGACTCAGCGCATAATTCAAAATGTCTAATTTATTGTGTCTCTGTTGGCAGACCAGACTCTGTTGGCCTCTGGGCAACAGAGGCATCACTAGCAATGCAGAAGTGAGAGTTTCTTCCTTTTTTCCCCTTCTCCTCCCCTCTCCTGTCTTTCCCCCTTTTTTTTCTTTTTCCCCTTCAAAGCTTCAGCTTTGGCTCAGGATTGCAGATCTGGCCCTGCATAAAATATTTTTTCTGTCTAAAGCAGTTGTCAGGGCTCCTTCTAAATATGAGACAGAGAGAACAATTTGTCTCTGACTGTGAGAAGTGGGGTGACCTATCCCTGGAAGCACAACCATCTTTCCATGAGCGGTGATCTGAGCTAATGTCTGTGTTCATCAGTTATCAATGGCAGAGGCACATCCAGGACAGCTCCACGTGCACAGTATTCATTGCTACTGTTTCAGAAGCCATCTCGCTATTGCTCGGCCTTCAGGAGAAAACCCCTCAAACTCTGAGTGTTTTATCCCATTTATGTGCTTTCCCTCCTTTCAGACAAGAGCAAAACAGGAAAGATCGTGGGAGGAGACAGAGCAGGGTTCAATCCTGGGAAAGCACCCCTGGCATTTCCTGTCTGATGCCTTCAGTTAGACCCGTGGGACAGCCATGGGCCCTGAGGCTGTGACTTCTCTTGGGTCCCTGCTGGAACTTCTCTATTTCTAGTCCTCAGTGGAGCTCTTTTCCTCACCCAGGTCTATCTTCCCCTTGAACACCAGGAAAGCTTTCTTGACATGCAGCAGCTTTGGCAAAGGGCCCCTTAATTCAGTCCAGGTCCTCCTCCTTCTCTGGAACACGGCCAAAGAAAGCAGAAAGTCACTAGGAGCAGACAGCCCAGGGAAATGGAGTGCAAAAAAGAGGCAGAGCAGAGCACAGCAGCGAGCTGTGCCCTGAGAAGACCTTTCCTCACTCCTGAGCAGTCCCTGTTTCTGCCTTCACCTCATCCCTGCTGCTCTGATGGAAGTGCTCAGAAAGGACAGGTGGCTTTGTTGGAAGGGTCAGCAGGGCCCTGCTTTCTGCAGCCAGCTTACAGAAGAGGATATTGAGGAAACTTCTCAGTCTGACCCTTCCCAAGGCTCTCTGGCCATCACACTCCAGCCACCAGAGGTGTTCAGTGCTGGGACTGAAGCCCCTCCACAGCAGTGGCTGCAGGGCCCCAATGGGCCCTGCTGGACTCCCCACACCCAGCCCCTGTGTCCTCCCTGGTTCCAGCCCAGGTTTCCCAGAGCAGTCTCAGCTGTCTGATTCCATAAAGCCATTTATTCCCAGTGCAGTGACACAGGAACAGCCTGAACTGTTCCCCCAGCAAGGGAGCCCCTCAGTTTTATCCCCTCACAGTCTGCATGCCCAAGGCTCGAGTCTGGCTCTTCCTCCCGGGCCTTCAGCTCCTGCTGGGTTTCTCGGTGTCCCTTCCCCAGTGGCGCCACCACTCTTGGTGCCCTTTGCTGGGCTCTGTTGGCAGTTCATGAGCTCTTGTCTCGGCCTCCCACCTGGAGCTCAGCTTGCATCAGGCACTGCAGCTGCCCCAGCCACCTGCACCAGGTGTGTTCACAGCCAGGAGAGGAGAGAGTGGGATTGAGGTGGTTTCAGTTTTGTCTTTGTTACCCAGCTTGCTGCTGTATTGGGAATTGCTGAGAAAGCAAAGCAATCGTCCCCAAGTCGTGTCTGGTTTGCTCATGGTAGCAGCTGGAGAGGGATGTCCCAGGCTTTATGTGAGCTCTTCAGTTGTATTTTTTCCTCCTGTCCAGTTGAGGAGGGGGAGTGAGAGAAGTTTTGTACAACAGAACTTCTTATTAACTGCATTATCTTCTCCAGTGCTGCGCTCACCACAGAGATTTTGACCCTCTTTTCCCTTGCATTGCAGAGTGAATATTGAAAAAAGGACACAGGTAACAAGAAATGAGGACACAGCTAATTTTTTTGCTGAGAATTGTATTACTTGTTTAGACAGTGATGGAAGGAAAAATCAGTAAATTAAAAAATCCGGAGCAGATCAGAGGTTTGAGTAGTATAAGGGACATATGTGTCCCCAAAACGCTCTGAAATGCCCTTTTTAAATCCGTAGGGAGATATTGTAGTGAAGCTTCCTTTTTTTTCATTTTTCTTTTTCTTTTCAGGCAAAGCACTGGCTAGAAGAGATGAGCTACTCGAAGCATTCCCAAGGAGACTCAGGTAGGTCCATAAGTAGGAATGGACTCATGGATCCCATTGCTCTTGTCTGTGGCCATCCTGGGAACCTTTGGGATGGGATGGGGTGGGATGTGTTATCCCTGAGAGAAGTGAGGTCAGTGGAGGTCTCTCCACTGAGCACGTTGCTTGCAGAACCCCTTCCAGAGCACAGCAGAAGGCCTGGCCTTTGGGCTGAGATCAGTTTGGTCAGAGGGGTGACCTCCTTTGACGAAGGACGTGTCCTACACTAGCAGGGGGTGTTGCTGAGCAGGGCTTTGATGGTCAGTTTGAAATGAATGTGCCAAGGGACAGTGAAGGGACCTGGGAGGTCTCTCTCCACTCCTGGTGTGAGGAAGAAGAGTCTCACCCTCTCGTGGGTGGCTGTGCTCTGGTGGGACTGGGGCACCTGTGTAGGGCCTGAGTGCTGTGCCAACTGAGGCAGCTCCCTGGCCCAGGAGAGCCTCAGTGGGCCCAAGGGTCAGGAACCCCGCAGCACTGTTGTGGGGCTCCTGGGCCAGCTGTGGGATACTGTGTTCTGTCCCAGAACCTGCTCAGTGCAGTCCTGGAGTTCTCTGGGGAAAGGTGCTTGTTAAATGTCCTTGTTTTCTCTTTGATTTTATTTTCATATGTACCTGATGTCCAGAAACAGCATGGGATACAGCTAAGGAATTGATAGAATGCATAATCAACACAATCAGTAAGTGTGCTGGATCCCATTCCTCTTGTCTGTGGCCATCCTTGGGAACCCTTGGGAAAGGATGGGATGGGGTGGGATGGGATGGGGTGGGATGGGATGTGTTAACCCTGAGAGAAGTGAGGCCAGTGGAGGTCTCTCCCCTGAGCACGTTGCTTGCAGAACCCCTTCCAGAGCCCAGCAGAAGGCCTGGCCTTTGGGGTGGGGTCAGTTTGGTCAGAGGGGTGACCTTCTTTGACCAGAGACACATCCTACTCTAGCAGGTGTGTAGTGGCATGGGTTTAGATGGTGGTTGCTGCTACCTATATCTGTTCCCAATAAGCATCTCCTGTGGAAAGGCCACTTGGGTTAGCATTCAGGCAAAGCAGTCAAGTCCACACACCACACTCACCACCACTAGCTCAGCAAAGAGAGGCAGAAGGGCCTTTTTGTATGGTCAGTTCTAGCGAGACTTATTGTGGCACACTGAAGGGAAACCAGGGGCAAAAAGACCTGGCCCTGTGCTGTGCACACTCTTAAGTATGGGAGGGCATGGGGGTGGTACAAAGGGCAGGGTGAAGGGCATTGGCCTTAAGGGAAGACAGGGCCAGCCACCAGGGGTACCACAACCAATGAGGAAACAGGGAAAGGAGAAACCAGGGGAAGTTGGGACATACGGGGAAGTGGGAAGCATCAGTGTTAAGCAGGAGTCCATGGGGAAGTCCTTTCTGTCCTTCCTTTCCTAGGTGGGGAAAACTCTATGGTAAGTCTCTCCAAGGCAATGCTCTGGGGATTTCCGTGAGGGGGAAGGATTCAGAGGATTCCACAACTCCCCTGTTTTTTCTTACAATGAAGACTTCCCCAATGGACTTCTACAGACACTTAAATAAACAGGGAAATGTGTAAAATGATAAAAACAATTATTACAATCTAACAAATTTCTTTAACAAAAGATGAAACCCATCTCGTCAACCCCCATTATCAGAAAAGTTCATTGATCCAATCTGGGTTCTTTTTCACCTTTAAGTCCTTTATTTGTTCCCTCAGCTTCTGGATACTTGCACGGGTAGATTTTGAGTATGAAGAAAGGTTGAGGCAGCACATCCTTTCAAAGTCTTGGCGGCTATGTCCATGGGCAAGCAGTAAAAAGTCTATTGCTGCTTGATTTTGCAATATTGCGTGCGGTCAGGTCACTGACTGCAGTGGAGGTAGCGTTTGCGTGCTTACTCTGCCAACACTCTAGGTGGGAAAGCTCACTGAGAGCCTCTGCTGTGTCCCCCCAAGGTAAAAAAGGTGAGACCACGGCTCTCTTTGTTCCAATTGTAAACTTGGCTGTGGCAGTTTTCATCAAATTCAGTATATGATCTCTTTTGGCGTGCTAATTTCTTTTTTTGTTTCCAATTTTGGAGTAAAGTTATGTTTGGGGTGAAGGTAGTGAGCAGGCCAAGGCTGCCGGGACTCCCTTGAAGGTGTGAGGGGAGCCTGGCCCATACTTGGTCTCCAGAGATAAGGAACACTCCCCAGAGCAGCACTTTGGGATAGAGTGAGGATGAAGAAAGTGTGGAACTGGTCTAATTGCACCAATTTGGAGGGGTATAATTTTTATTAAATTGGGTTGCATCTTCCCTGTGGGTAGACTTAATAAGTTCAAGGTAGGTCAAGTGTTGATCGGGAGGTTGATACTGAAATTGGACACAGTAATGAGCTTTAGAGGACCCTAACAGCTCTAATTCTTGGGGTTCCTCTGGTGCTCGAGGTAGGTCCACCCGTCCCAAGTGTCTGCCAGATTGGGTTCTTATCTGTATATGGGTTTTCATTTGTTGCTAAAGGAGCCCCTACCAGGCACGTCAACAGGGGGTTGTCCACGCTACCCATGGACAGGCATAGATTGTCTTGCTGTAAAGTCTTGGCTAGTGTGACCCAGATGCTCTGACTGGGCTAAAGGACAATCCACGCACCAGGTGATGGAAAGGCGAGCAGCATCCAAAATCCTGTCTGGAATAGTTGGGGATTCCCTGCTGCCAGAAACATGGAAGGATGCTTGGGGGTGATGAGTTGATCTGTGAGTTTGAAAAAATGGATTTTCAGACTTATATAATTTTAACAGTCCCTCAAATCTTCTCTTCTTATCCCCTCAGTTTTCACTGAGTAGAAAAGGGGTGGGAAAACAAGAGGGGGTAACAGTGCAACAAGCTCAAGAGAGTAAAACCAGCTAAAGAGGGGTAACAGTGCAAAAAAAAAAGAGCAAATAAAATGCAACAGAGAGTCTTATGATTGTCTGGAGCAGTGGAGAGTCATCTTCCTCTGTGACAAACATCTGCGTTTACGGTCTTTTTCCTTCTTCTCCTCCACACCTACCGAGCTTGATCTCTATGCTGTTTCTGGAGTTCCAGGGAAGTGTCTCTGGGAGCTGCACTTGCCGATTCGATGAACAGCATGACATTCTTGCTGGGAATCCACCTTGGGCCAGATTCTGTGGACACACAAGCATAGCCTCTGCCCCAAGTTACTAATGGGAATGGGCCCATTATTCACTTAGATTTGGGGTCTTTGGTCAGCACAGGGGGTTTCTCTGTGAGCTGAGCTCAAGGCACTTTGAGACGGGCTGGACAATGGAGGGGTTTGGCTCCATGAATGAATTATTAAGAAAACTGATGACATAAAGAGCCTTACATAATCTTTCTACATTTGGTAGTGTTTCAACTCCCCTATGCTGCTGATCAAGGACTCTCTTGAGTGTACAGTGAGCCCTGTCTACAACAGATTGCCCCGTTGGGGAATGGGATATGCCAGTGGTGTGTTTCACCCACCATTGATCTAAGAATTTTTGGAAATTTTTGGAGGGGTAAGCAGGACCATTATATGTTTTGATGGCTTGCAGAATGCCTAGGATGGAAGGCACTAGAAGAAAATGTTTGATAACATCTTTGGCCTTTTCTCCTGTGTGGGCAGATGCGAATGTAGCCCTGGAGAATGTATCTATGGACACATGAATATATTCCTGTCTCCCAAAGGGTGCATGGTCTATAATATCTGTTTGCTACAATTGTAAACTTTTGAGGCATCGGGGGTTAATCCCAGCCCCCATGGAAGGCAAAGCAAATTCCTGGCAGCTGGGGCAGGAGCCCACAATTGCTCTCACCTGTTCCCTTGTGGTTTTAAACACAGGGACAAGGGCTGGTGCATTTTGGTGAAAAAATGAGTGGCTCAATTTAGCCTGATTAAAAATGTGTGGTAGGGTGGTCTGCAATGCCATGGCTAAGATATCTGCTCTCCAATTGCCTTCTGTAATCAGTCCTGGGAGATCAGTGTGTGACCTCATATGCCTAATGTGATATGTTTGCTCTCAGTGGGAGAGAAGGTATGTTAACTTTGAAAGCAAGCTGTATAAATCTGGATTTGGCACTTCCTTCAACAAGGAATGTTCTGCTCTTTCAGCTATTCCAGCAACATAAGCCGAATCAGTAACCAGATTCAAGGATTGTTTGATCTTCTCAAAGATTCTGAGAACGGCTGCTAATTCTGCAATTAGTGGGGATCCCTGAACAATCTGAACATCAGACTCCCACTCCTGAGTGTCAGAATTTTTCCGAGTGATGATTTACGGAATTTTCTGGAGCCATCAGTAAAAACAGTCTGTGCCTTTAAAGGAGTACAACTCTTTAATGATTTTGGGACCAAATTAAAACAATCATTATATAGTTTATATTTCTGTAGGCTGATATAGATTTGACCTGGGTAGCTGTCAAGAGCAAACTGGAGGTGTTCATTGGTCTGGAGCAAAGCTTCCAGTTCACCTGATGTCATTGGGAGGTAAATGTATTGAACTCACACCCTGCTAGGGTTTTGAGGCATGATCTGGCTTTTATAATGAGCTGAGCTATCAGCTCCTGGGGTGTAGTGATTGTCTTAATCTTATGTGATTGGTGTGATCGGAACATGCACTTTGTGATTAAAAGCTGATCCTTCAGAGTGGGATCCCACTGGAAAATGAGCCCATGAAACTTGGGTGACTTACCCAAGATGACAAATTGACGAGGCAGGGTAGGGTCAGCATGGTGGGCTTGTCTCGTGGACTATGCCTCTGATACCTTTTGGATCACTACCAGGGCTTCCAGTGTGATTGTTTGTGGTGAGTCGAGGTCATTACAGCCTCTCAGGAGTTTGAAAAGGGGTGCAAGGTCCTCAGCAGTGGACAAACCCATTTGATGCTCCCACATAGCTGATGAAAGTCCCTCAGGGTTCTCAGGTTGTCCATGATGGTGAGCTGCTGGGGTACGATGGTGCTTTTGCTGATCCACAGTCCTAGGTAGGTCCATGGGCAGATGTGCGGAATCATCTCTGTAGCAATTTCAAATCCTGCTCTTTCAATGGCTTGAATAGTCTTTTTGAGAAGTCTCTCAATAGTGGTCAGTCTCAGTGCATATTAAAATGACATCCATAGAGTGAAAAATTATGGCATCAGGAAGTTTTCTTGAATGGGCGAGAGAATGCAACCAACAAGCCTTTGACAGATAGCTGGTGAACTTTACAGTGTTTAGGGAAGAGCTTCCCATTGATAGCTTTTGAGAGAGGCTTGTCTATTAATTGATGGCATGGAAAATGCAAATCTTTGGGGCATCTCTGGGATGGAGGGGGATATTAAAAAAGCAATCTCTTATATCAATGACTGCCAATTTTCAATCTCTCAGGAGCATTTAGGGTGAGGGTAGGCCGGGTTGCAGAGGGCCTGTGTCTTCAATTACTTCATTGACTTTCCTGAGGTCTTGCAGGAGCCTCCACTTGTCTTTGACTGGTTTACAAATGACAAAGACAGGGGTGTTCCAAAGGTTAATGGATGGTACTATGTGGCCTTTGGAAAACTGCTCCTGCACGAGGAATTCAAGTGCCTTTCACTTTACTTCTGAAAGGGGCCACTGATCAACCCATACTGGTTCATCAGTTTTCCATGTGAGCAGTGTGGCAGGGCGCTCCACAGCGGCCCCAGCTTGAAATCCTGTTGTCATGGTTTGACACTGGCGCAGTGCCAGTGCCCCCATGAAAATACACTCTCCCTGATGTCTGCTGTGAGATGTGACCAGGAATAAGCAAAGCAGGCTCCTGCTTAGAAATAAAGAAAACAAAACTTTATTAACTACACTACAACTATATATAAAAAGGAACACACACAGGAAAATGAAAACCTTGCAAATACATTTCCTCCTCCTCCCCACTAGATTTCCAATACGTCCATCCATCCCCGAAAATCACCAACTCTTGTTCCAGCACCACCCTTTAGACAATCAATCCTCAGTTCATCAAGAGGAAAGAAGTCCTTCTTGTGCCATGGTGACCTCTTCCTTTCATGTCCAGTGCTCTCCCCACTGAACACGGACCAGAGCTGCTTCTAGGGTCATCTTTTAAGGATGCTTTGTGCCATTCCAAAAAGGGCACAGTGTCTCCCTCGGGACACCTGTCCCCCCCCCCCAATTATTCCCCAGGGGGCTGAGGGGCATCAACACTGAACTCTCTTGGTTCCGGGGCATTGCCCCCGCTGGATGCAGTCTCTGTATCACAAGGAAACATGGTTCTGTCCATGGCTAGACAAAAAGAGTCCAGCATAAAAGCCACTCCATCATCCTCCATCATCTTTTCCCACCCAAGGTTCTTCTCTATTCTTTTCACATGTCTCCCTTGCTCAGACCTTCAGCACTTGCCCATTTCCTTCTTCGTCTTTCACTCTTATCTCTCTTCTAGGAAGGGTTTAAAAAGCTCCTACAAGTGGCCAGACTCCTTCTCGGTGCACCCTCCCCCCCCACAGGCCGGGCTGTGCTGGCAGCACATGATATCAAATTTCTAGGTAACAGTCCAGTCCCAGGCACCATCTCTCTCTGTCTCTCTCTCTCTCTCTCTCTCTCCCCCCCTCCATCTCCCGAAGGCCCGGCCTACATCACGGCTGCATGGCTTCCCCTCCCCCAGCCCAGCCAGCAGCTGGGACGGGGAGAGATTCGAACTCTTTTCCGGCAGGAAACCCAAGAGAGCTTCCCAGGGGAGAGCTCTGCTTTTAACCCCTGTGTTCTCAGAGGCATATCCAATGCACCAGTGGCCAAACCAGGTGCCAATATTCAAATCTGATCACCCATTGGTGTGACTACAGCATCCCAGAAAACCTACTTCCTGTCAAACCATGTCACCTGTGGTGGTGAGGGGATTTCTAGCCTTGCTCCCCACTGAGACAACAGGTCTCTGCTCCATAAGGTAAAAGGTGCCCTTACCACAAAAGGTCTTACTGTGGCCACCTGACCCTCAGGTCCTTCAATAAGAATTGTCTGTTTGCTCCGCATAGAGGTGGCAGCTCCTCCAGTCCCAGAGATGTCTCGATTGGCTGGCACCAGTTCCCAGTCCTGTGGCCATCGGAGTGGGCAATGTTGGTCATGTCCTTTCTGGTATCTGCTGCACCTGTAAGATAAACTTTGTCCCCTTTGTTAAACAAGCCACACTCTATCAGATGTCTGTCTTGGCCCACAATCTCTGCCCAAAAAACTTTGGGGTTTTTTGGCATAATGTCAGTCCATTTGAGTATGAGGAAACCTTGGACTATGGGTGTGCCCTTAGATAAATACCAAGATGGGTCTACAAATGAGACGGTCACAGTAATTTCATCCCTTGGTCCCACAGTTTGGACTTCTGGAAGTACTTGTAAACTGGTCTATTAATGGAATCCCCTATGATTAAAATGTCCCTTGGTCCATCAGAAGGTCCAGATTCACCAGCTGGAATTCGGTAGCTTGCCTCATCCTCAAACTGGATGGAAAGGGCCCTTACCAGCGAGCGTGCGGTGTGTTTTTGCCTGAATGTATTAGGAGGTCTTGGAGAGTTGGTTCTCTTTCTTGTTGTCACAGTCCTTTGGTGCCCTGACTTTCCGGGGTGGTGGGGAAGAGGGACAGAACACCTTGGCATTTGGTGTCATTGCACAGGGTCACCCTGCACTTTGCTGGAAGTTTCCCTGGTGTTGCTGTTGAGACAGCTGATGCTGATCTGCTTGTGGTACTGAAACTAGGGACGGTGTTTAGAATGTTCTTTACAGTCTAAGCGTGCAGCCGAGGGAACAACCAGTGGAGGGATGTCTCTGCAAAAATCTTTGTCACATTCCACCTTGAGGTGGCCTTGTTCCCTACACTTATCTCATATTTTGTCTATTTTGTGCCAGAAAGACTTCAGCTGCTTGTTTGCTGGCTGCCAGGGCTACCATATGTTCTGTAGTTGTGAGACGGGTACAGGCTTCCACCATTTGCTGAATGATGGATTCAGGGTCTGGAGGGAGTGCTCTTATAATTTTTTTTGCATTCCTCGTTCACATTGGACACTGCTAGTTTACTGAGCAGCTCTTCTCTAGCCCTTGGGCAGTTGACTTGTTTATCAATAGTATCTTTTAGTCTGTCTGTGAATTCAATAAATGTCTCACCAATGCTGGGACAAATGTCAGTGAAACTTTGTTGTGGGATGGTGCCATCCCTTGTTTAGAATAAAGCATTCTGGGCAGCATTTTTAACGTCCTCTAGAACAGCTGGGGGTAGATTTAGGGCTTGGTCTTGTGGATTTTCATATGGTCCTTCCCCATTCAAGTGCTCTACTGTAAAATGAGCTCACCCATCCTCAGTTTTGAAAATTTTTATTAATGCTTTTACTTATTTTTTCCAAATTGATTCCCACAGAAGAAGCTCTGTAGGTGATAGGAGGAGGGACATAACATAACGAAGATCATGGGCGACAAGCACATGAGCTGAGAAAGTTACTTGTAATACATATTTAAAATATGGAGATTTACGTCTATAATCTTTAGATGCTTTGCATAGATCTTTAAGTTTCTTTTATGGAATAGATTCCCATTTAGGCAATCTCCCTCTTTTGTATATAGCTGGGGCAGCTAGGACTTAGGTTTTGAGCAAAATCTCAATTACTGTCCAAAGCTGCTTCTCTTTGGACTTTTGCCCATTGATCCTGAAATTCACTGTCTGAATCTGAGGTATCACTGTCCTCTGAAGAGGAAATAGATGTGCTAACATGAACATAGGAACTCCAGCTGGGGAGCAATCAGTGTTTGGAGTCTTTGGTCTTTAAACTAGATGTTTTTTGATTAGCTTCCCTCCTAGTGAGGGGTGGGGATTCAGAGGATTCCACACATGGGGTGTTGCTGAGCAGGGCTTTGAGGGTCAGGCTGAAATGAATGTGCCAAGGGACAGTGAAGGACCTGGGAGATTCCTCTCCACTCCTGGTGTGAGGCAGAAGAGTCTCACCCACCCTCTCGTGGGTGGCTGTGCTCTGGTGGGACTGGGACACCTGTGTGGTGCCTGAGTGCTGTGGCAGCTGAGGCAGCTCCCTGGCCCAGGAGAGCCTCAGTGGGCCTCAGGGTCAGGAACCCCCCAGCACTGCTGTGGGGCTCCTGGGCCAGCTGTGGGATACTGTGTTCTGTCCCAGAACCTGCTCAGTGCAGTCCTGGAGTTCCTTGGGGAAAGGCCTTTGTTAAATGTCCTGGTTTTCTTTTTGATTTTATTTTCATATGTACCTGATGTCCAGAAACAGCATGGGATACAGCTAAGGAATGGATAGAAATTATATTCAAGGGATCAAGTAAGTGTGCTGGATCCTATTCCTCTTGTCTGTGGCCATCCTTGTGAACCCCTGGGAGATGGGATGGGATGGGATGGGATGGGATGGGATGGGATGGGATGGGAGGGGATGGGAGGGGATGGGATGGGATGTGTTATCCCTGAGGCCAGTGGAGGTCTCTCCCCTGAGCATGTTGCCTGCAGAACACCTTCCAGAGCACAGCAGAAGGCCTGGCCTTTGGGCTGGGATCAGTTTGTCAGAAGGAGGACCTTCTTTGACCAGGGACACATCCTACTCTATAGCAAGGGGTGTTCCTGGCAATTGGTAACAATTTAAAGACATAGCACATCCCTTCTGGGATTTCCTTTCCTTTCTTTGAACAGGAAGGGAGAAATCTAACCCTGGGTTTAGCGACAGGGACCAAAGGGAGAAGCCTTTCTGTGCAGGTGAGTGCCGGTCCTTGCCCACTCTACCTGTAAACTGAACCCTGCCAACAGGAAGGAGATCCAGAGGTGAGGGCCTGGTGCAGTCAGATCAAGCAGTCCCACCTGTCCATAAATTCCCATTTCTAAAGGCCCCCAGCCAGTCCTTTGTTACATACCCATCCCCATGCAGCTGCCCAGGACCCTGGGATCCCAGGATGCAGATGTCTCTGCAGTGGGCTTTTCCCAGCACAGACCAGCACAGCGTGACCCCTGCTGGATCCCACCCCCTGGATTCTAAGGCCAGTTGTTCTCCTGCCCCTGCCCTTTCTAGCTGGGATGCTGGCAGAGGAATGTCATTCCCTCAAGGTACACTTGGAATTTAGCATGGCCTGGGCTCTCCCCCTTGTCCAGGCCTTTGGGCAGTGAGGAGGCCATGGGGTTCCTCCCAGTATTCCTCACCAGCAGCACTGGAGCTCCAAACCCATGTTTAGAAGGACTCTAAGTGGTGTCAAGACTCCTTTCAACAGGCAAAAGCTGTTAGAGAGAAAGTCTCCATGTCAGGAAGAAAACTGGGGCTACAGTAGGGAGGCCAAGGTTTCTTCCCACACCAAACTCGTGTTGGAATAGGATTTGAAAGCCAGGATCGTGGTATGTGGTGCCCACAGGTGCATCAGCCTGTGAATTCCACATCTCTGTTTTTCAGGGATGAGTGAATTCATTTCCAAGGCTGCTGAGTTAGAAAGGATGATCTAAGAAAAAGAGGTCTGGAGAAAACAAATTGATAAACAGGCAGGACATGAGGGAACTAAGTCTGAGCTTTTTGTTTGTCCTCTGAATAAAGAAATTAGGCAAAAAAAAGAATCTGTTTCTGAATTGCACCTTGAGCACAGTGGCTAATTCCTCTGAAGTGATTATTTCTCCAGAGTGGAAGAAAAAACCAACCTACAGAAAGATCTAAGAAAAGACTCTCAAGAAGAGACTTTAGAAAAGAGGATATGAGCATCCTCAGAGAGAATGGGTGGACTCCCACTCAAGGGAGAAATGTCAGTTTCCCACTAACACCAGTCATTTCATACAGGAAAGAGGGAGAGGGAGAAGATCAACAAGGCCCTGGAATCCGAAGTGGACAAGGCGTTCCAGGACCTCAACAATAAAATGGAAGCTCTGCATGAAGATTTCAAAGAATTACAGGAGATCGCAGCAGAGCTGGAGAAGATCCCAGGTGAGCAGGGCCATTGCCAAGCAGACTTTCATCCATCTGAAGGCAAAAGCTGCTCTACAGGCCAACCACCATGTGAGCTCCTCCTGCTCAGCTCCTTAGAGGGGATGGAGAGGGACAGTCCTTCAATGGGGAGCAGCAGGGAGGTTAAATCAGAGCCTTTGGGCCTGCTTGTGTCAGATAGCTGGTCTCCTGCTCAAGGAGGAAACACCAGTGACCCTGTGACCTTGTTCTTTCATCTCAGGAAACAAAAAGCAGGGAATTGCAAGGGTCCTGAACTCCATGTTGAATATGAACCTTCGGCAGCTCTCCCGAAGAATTCAAACTCTGGCAGAAGATGTAGAGGAATGGCCAGCAGCCATAAAGCATGAGCTTAGGCTTCTCAGAGCATACCTGGAGATGAGCAAAGGTGAGCATGGCCATTGCCAAGCAGACCTTCATCCATCTGAGGACAAATGCTGCTCTACAGGCCATCAATCCTGTGAGCTCCTTCTTCTCAGCTCCTCAGAGGGGATGGGGAGGGACAGCCCTTCCATGGGGAGCAGCTTCTGTGACCCATGGCACTGAAACACCTCCATCCTGAAGTGTTCTCTGCAGATGCAGGTGGTCTGAGTCCCTCTTTTGTCCCTCACCTTTGCATGGGGTGTGTGCTGGGAGTTCTGTCACTGCCTGATACTTGCTAAGGGTCCCCCCTTGGAGTCCTGTCCCCATCTCTCTCCCTTCCCCCCCTGCCCTCCTGCTGCTCCCCCACTCCTGGTCCCACACTGGGGCACACGTGAGCTCAGCCTTGTTTCCCGGTGGCTGATCAGCAGGGAGAGGAGCTGCCCTGAGCAGAGGCTGGATGTGTCTGTGAGCACAGGGCCTATGGAGAGCAGCTGTGCCTGCAGGAGCTGGTGCTGGCAAGGGGAAGGCTCAGCTGGGGCACAGTCTCCAGTGTGGGCCTTGCTGGCCCCAGACTGTGCCCCTGGGCCTGGGCAGGACACAGAGTGTGTTGGGAACAGCCTCTGGCCCCAGGGCAGGGGCAGCTGAGGAACAATCAGCCTTCCCTGACTGTGGGTCCTGTTTGTGCTCCAGCTACAGCCAGCAAAGCCACGGCAAGGAGCAGCCCAAGAGTCCAGGGAAACCTCTGCAATTCCTGCTGGCTCAAGTCATTGTGGGCTTGGAATGAAGTGTGTGGCCCACTTCAAAGCTGGAGCTCTATTTATTGGGCTGCCAAAAGCACAAATGAGATTCTGAAAAGGGATGAAAACTTGTTCTGTGTTTCTCGTCCCCGCCCTGCTAAAAGTGTGAGGGTAAAGGGAAAATCATCTCCAGATTGTGCCTTCATGGCCAACTGGAATTCCTGTGAGGTGAGGATTTCTAAGGGGGAAAGAGGAAGGAAAAAACACCCACAGGTGAGCCCTGAGGAGAGACCCTCAGTCAGGGAGATTAAATCAGAGCCTTTGGGCCTGCTTGTGTCAGATAGCTGGTCTCCTGCTCAAGGAGGAAACACCAGTGACCCTGTGACCTTGTTCTTTCATCACAGAAAACGAAGAGGGGGATATTGCAAAGGCCCTGGAATCCAAGTTGAATATGAACCTTCGGCAGCTCTCCCGAAGAATTCAAACTCTGGCAGAAGATGTACAGGATTGTCTGGAGACCACAAGGGATGAGTTTTTCAGAGCAGAAGTGGAGAAGAACCCAGGTGAGCAGGGCCATTGCCAAGTAGACTTTCATCCACCTGAAGGCAGAAGCTGCCCTACAGGCCAACCACCCTGTGAGCTCCTCCTGCTCACCTCAGCAGGGATGGGGAGGGACAGTCCTTCCATGGGGAGCAGCTTCTGTCATCCATGGCACTGAAACACATCTGTTCTTGCAGGCCTCCAGCCAGGTAATAATTCGCATTGGCTTCATGATTCACAGAAGCCTGATCAATCACTTTATTCTATACTTGTTAAGAAACACATTGCTTTTATAGACAGTTACAATACAGGTGGACCTAATTGGTCCTCCAGTCCAAACACCATCATCATTGGCTAATTAAGAAACCGCCCTTTGGTAGACAAATCTCCATAACACATTCCACATGTTCACAACAACTGATGCAGCAAGTGAAGATAAGAATTATTTCTCATTCTTCTCTCTGTTCTTCTCACAGCCTTTCCCAGCACAATGCCGGGGAAAGTCATGCGGCTCTCTGTAGCCAGAGAGCTGCTGCCACACACGTGCATGCTGAAGTGTTCTCTGCTGGTGCAGGTGGTCAAAGTCCCTCTTCTGTCCCTCACCTTTGCAGAGGGTATGTGCTGGGAGTTCTGTCACTGCCTGATACTGCCTAAGAGTCCCCCCATGACGTCCTGTCCCTGTCCCTCTCCCTTTCCCCCCTGCCCTCCTGCTGCTGCCCCACTCCTGGTCCCACACTGGGGCACACGTGAGCTCAGCCTTGTTTCCCGGTGGCTGATCAGCAGGGAGAGGAGCTGCCCTGAGCAGAGGCTGGATGTGTCTGTGAGCACAGGGCCTATGGAGAGCAGCTGTGCCTGCAGGAGCTGGTGCTGGCAAGGGGAAGTCTCCAGCTGGGGCACAGTCTCCAGTGTGGGCCTTGCTGGCCCCAGACTGTGCCCCTGGGCCTGGGCAGGACACAGAGTGTGTTGGGAACAGCCTCTGGCCCCAGGGCAGGGGCAGCTGAGGAACAATCAGCCTTCCCTGACTGTGGGTCCTGTTTGTGCTCCAGCTACAGCCAGCAAAGCCACGGCAAGGAGCAGCCCAAGAGTCCAGGGAAACCTCTGCAATTCCTGCTGGCTCAAGTCATTGTGGGCTTGGAATGAAGTGTGTGGCCCACTTCAAAGCTGGAGCTCTATTTATTGGGCTGCCAAAAGCACAAATGAGATTTTGAAAAGGGATGAAAACTTTTTCTGTGTTTCTTGTCCCCTCCCTGCTAAAAGTGTGAGGGTAAAGGGAAAATCATCTCCAGATTGTGCCTTCATGGCCAACTGGAATTCCTGTGAGGTGAGGATTTCTAAGGGGGAAAGAGGAAGGAAAAAACACCCACAGGTGAGCCCTGAGGAGAGACCCTCAGTCAGGGAGATTAAATCAGAGCCTTTGGGCCTGCTTGTGTCAGATAGCTGGTCTCCTGCTCAAGAGGAAACACCAGTGACCCTGTGACCTTGTTCTTTCATCACAGAAAACGAAGAGGAGGATATTGCAAAGGCCCTGGAATCCAAGTTTACTATGAACCTTTGGCAGCTCTCCCAAGGAATTGAAAATTTGGACAAAGATTTATGGCAACATCTGGAGACTGCAAAGCATGTCCTTCTGCCTTGCACAGCGTAACTGAAAAAGAACCCAGGTGAGCAGGGCCACTGCCAGGCAGACTTTCATCCGTCTGAAGGCAAAAGCTGCTCTACAGCGCAACCACCCTGTGAGCTCCTCCTCAGCTCCTTAGAGGGGATGGGGGGTAACAGTGCTTCCATGGGGAACATGGAAATGATCCATAGCATACTCTGTGATCCATGGCACTGAAACATCTTGTCTTAGTTTACAAGACAGGTGTCTGCTAGGGAAGGCAGAACAGCGTCCCTTGGAATGGAGAATGTAAACTCGTCCCTTTGAATTATTATAATTTTGAAATTAGGAGCTCTCAGGCAAAGTTATGGGAATGGGAATAGCAGTAACCATTCTTTACTGGTGTGTATAACAAGGCATACAGAGCACCAGCCCCTGCAGCATCACCAATCACAGAGAAGGAGCCCAGTCCCACAGTTCTTTCCTAGTGTGTATAACAGGGCACACAGAACTCCAGCCCCTTCAGCATCACCGATCACAGAGCAGGAGCCCAGTCCTAGCCTTGGGGCTGCAGTGCTTTCCCCTCTGGTGCAGTTCCGGGCACGGCCAGCAGGGGCGGTGGTGGTTCCCGGTGGGCAGGGCAGGTGCAGTGATCCCTGCAGGACTGCGGGGGGCGCTGTGGCACAGCACGGGGAGCACGCGGCAATGACGACTGGGCCCAGACGGGGAGGGACGGAGGAGAATCTTTGCTCCAGAAACCCCGGGGCAGCTGAGCTCCGTGCCCCAACAGGACTCTCGGAATGAGCAGGCTGGAAGGGCAGGGATGAGCAGAAAATCCCGGGACAGTGAACAAGAATGCCCCAAAACTCCAGGGCAAATAGCTGGAACCTGTGGGATGTCTTGGCAGGGCAGGGGTACATGAGACCCAGCAGCAGAAGAAAGGCTCCTTGCTGGGTCACGATCATGGTAGGAGAAGGCAGCAGGGACGGGGTCTCACAGTGGTGGTGAATTCCCTCCCCAGCCTGTGTCCCCTCCAGTGCCAAAGGAGCAGGAGTGCACTAGGAACTGCCCCCAGCCAAAATCTCCCAGTATCTCTGCCCCACCCGCCCGGCCACCACAGAAACTCCCAAAAAAACCAAGAGTTCCCCCTCACTGCCTGGCTCAAGCCATCAATTCCCATTAGTAACTCAGTGGGAAGAAATTCTACAGAAATAAGGAGAGAACAGGAAAGAAAAAAAACAACCAAAACCCAGCCCTCAATATTATCCACCTCAAATTTTTTCCCATTCCGACATGTTACATAAAATTTAAACTTTTTAAAATTATATACATATGTACATGCAGATACAGATACAAGCACAGCATCATGGGTAGTTCACCCTAAAATAGGATCCGCCTTGAGGTATGCATTGGGTTTCTCCATCCTTTTGCATCAACCACCAGGTGCAACCTAGTCCCTGGGCGAGGACAACTCCACAGATGGGACTGGTTTTGCTGGAGGCAGAATTAAACCAAACAGTTTTTCCCAGCATAGCTCTCCCATGTACCCCTGGAACCTTATCTCCATTTGTTGTTTGCAAGGGCTCAGATTGGGCAGGGCCTGCTCAGTTAGTGGAACCTCGAGTGTTCACTAGCCAAGTGGCCTTTGCTAAATTAATCTCCCAGTTCTTGGAAGTCCCCCCACCCAGTGCCTTTACGATGGTTTTAAGCAGGCCATTGCACCGTTCAGCTTTCCCAGCCACTGGTGCAAGGTAGGGGATATAGTACACCCACTCAATGTCATGTCCCCTGGCCCAGGTGTTGATGAGGCTGTTCTTGAAATGGGTCCCATTGTCCGACTTAATTCTCTCAGGGGTGCTATGTCTCCATGGTATTTGCTTTGCCAGGCCCAGGATGATGTTACAGGCAGTGGCTTGAGGCTGGTGAGACCTACCTCAGGGTAGGTTTCCAACCATATAGTGGTGGCTTCCACCATGGTCAGCACGTAGCGCTTGCCCTGGCGTGTCTGGGGCAGTGTGATGGAGTCAATCTGCCAGGCCTCCCCATACTTGTACTTGGACCACCGCCCACCGTACCAGAGGGGCTTCACTTGCTTGGCCTGCTTGATGGCAGCACACGTCTCACAGTCATGGATAACCTGAGCAATACTGTCCATGGTTAAATCCAGCCCTTGGTCTTGTACCCACTTATAGGTGGCATCTCTGCCCTGATGGCCTGAGGCATTATGGGCCCTTCAAGCTAGGAACAACTCCCCCTCATGTTGCCAATCTGTCTTTGACCCCTATCTTTGCAACCTGATCTACCTGCTCATTGTTTTGGTGTTCCTCACTAGCCTGATTCTTTGGGACATGGGCATCTACATGGCAGACTTTCACAGCTATCTCTTCTACCTGAGTGGCAATATCTTTCCACTCATCAGCAGCCCAGATTGGTTTTCCCCTATGCTGCTAGTTGGTCTTTTTCTACCTTTCCTGCCAACCCCATAGAGCATGGGCTACCATCCACAATTTGGTATAAAGGTAGAGCTTTGGTCATTTCTCTCTTTCTGCAATGTCCAGGGCCAGCTGAACAGCCTTGAGTTCAGTAAGATGACTTGATCCACCTTCCCCTTTGGTAGCTTGTGCATCCTGTCATGTGGGGCTCCATACAGCTGCTTAGTAATTCCAATTCATCCCAGTTCATCTTTTTCTACCTTTCCTGCCAACCCCATGGAGCATTGGCTACCATCCACAATTTGGTATAAAGGTAGAGCTTTGGTCATTTCTCTCTTTCTGCAATGTCCAGGGCCAGCTGAACAGCCTTGAGTTCAGTAAGATGACTTGATCCACCTTCCCCTTTGGTAGCTTGTGCATCCTGTCATGTGGGGCTCCATACAGCTGCTTAGTAATTCCAGTTCATCCCTACAATGTAACAGGAACCAATCAGGTCAGTGAAAAGAGCATAGCATGTGTCATCTGGTGGTAGTTGGTTGTACGGTGGAGCTTCTTCAGCCTGTGTCACTTGTTCCTGCTCCTCTTTGTCAGTGATACCAAAGTTTTCACCTTCCAGCCAGTTTGTAATTATCTTCAAAATCTCAGGGCGATTCAGATTCCCAATGCAGGCATGCTGTGTGATCAGAGCAATCCATTTGCTCCATGTAGTATCAGTGTTGTGGTGGGTAGTGGCAACCTTTTCTTTAAACATCCACCCCAGCACTGGCAGTTGGGGTGCCAGGAGGAGTTGTGCTTCTGTGCCAATCACCTCTGAGGCCGCTTGAACTCCTTCAAACACTTCCAAGATTTCCTTCTCTGTGGGAGTGTAGTTGGCTTTGGACCCTCTGTGATTTCGGCTCCAGAATCGCAGTGGTCGATCCTGAGTCTCTCCAGGCAGCTTCTGCCAAAGCCTCCAGGACAGACCATGATTCCCAGCTGCAGAGTTGAGCACGTTCTTCACCTCTGACCTGTCCTGACTGGGCCAAGGGCTACTGCATGAACGATCTCCTCCTTGATCTGGGCAAAGGCCCTGGGGGGCCCTGTTGCTGCTCAGGGCCCCACTGGAACTCGTTCTTCTTGCGGGTGACCAGGTAAAGAGGGATCACAATCTGACTGTACTTGGGAATGTGCATTCTCCAAAAGCTTATGGCACCTTGAAAAGCTTGTGTTTCCTTCTTGCTGGTTGGTGGAGACATCACGGTGATCTTATTAATGACCTCAGTGGGAATCTGACACCGTCCATCTTGCCACTTCACTCCCAGGAACTGTATCTCTCAGGCAGGTCCTTTGACTTTCCTCTTCTTGATGGCAAAGACAGCTTCCAGCAGAATCTGGATGATCCTCTCTCCTTTCTCAAACTCTTCTGTTGCTGTGTTCCCCCAAAAAATCGATATACTGCAGATGTTCTGGAGCTTCACCCTTTTCCAGTGCAGCCTGGATCAGTCCGTGGCAGATGGTGGGACTGTGCTTCCACCTGATTTTCAGAAGCAAAAAACTCCACAACTTTGTGAAAGTTGTAAAGCCGGTATGTTTATTACACAGCTGGACACATGTGGGAATTGGAATTGTTCCCCTTAAATGACATGCATACCTCTGGGAACTCCAGATCCTTATCTCCCTCTCAAATACATATGCATGCAATTTCACAATAGATTCACACATATTCATTCTAGTGATTTTGTGTGACATTTGCCACTAATTTTTCTTTATCAGAAAAAAAATAATGGGTCATTTTGCCCTCCTCTCCATAACAGCCTTTAGGTCTGTTTCAGAGTTCAAGGCCTCGCCCCCCCACCCCTCTATATCTGTGCTTTGGCTGAAGCAGTTTCTCTGAGCATAGGCTTTTTGTGAGAACAGGCAGTCAGACTAAATAGCTATGTTTGCAAGCTACAGGCTTAATTCAAAGATGTACATTTCACCTGAATCAAAATGGATTTCTGCTCTGGAAAATTTCTACTCTGTCTCACCACCCCTGGGGCAGTTGGTTTCAGGTGTACTGCATGCCCCTCAAGGTGAAAGCAAACTGAGGCCTGCATTCTGCTGCCAGAGGAATGGAAAAAAATTAATTGGCAATGTCTATAGTGGCAAGGCACTTTCCTGCCTTGGACTCCAGCTCGTACTGGAGTTCCAGCATGTCCGGCACAGCAGCACTCAGCGGTTGAGTCACTTCATTCAATGCACAATAGTCCACAGTCAATCTCCATTCTCTGTCAGACTTGTGCACAGGGCAGATGGGGCTGTTGAAGGGTGAGTGGGTTTTTCTGACCACCCCTTGGCTCTGCAGCTCACAGATCATTTTGTGGATGGGGATCACGGCATCTCGATTCATCTGATACTGCCGGCAGTGCACCTTTGGGGTGGCAATTGGCACTTGTTGCTCTTCCACCTTCAGGAGACCTACTGCAGATGGTCTTTTGGATAGTCCAGGTAAAGTGTTGATCTGCTTGATGTTCTCTGCCTCTACAGCAGCTATGCCAAAAGCCCATCTGAGTCCCTTTGGGTCTTTGTAATAGCTGTTCTGGAGGAAGTCTGTGCCCAGAATACACGGGGCCTCTGGGCCCGTCACAATAGGGTGTTTCTGCCACTCCTTCCC